GAATACTCTTAAAGGAGGGGGGGACCTTCCTTGATTACCAATAAATCTTCTTATAGTTTATATGACTGGTATTTTACTAGTTTGGGGTGGGACAATCAAGAAAACATTAATACTTTTCATGTCAGTGAGTGTCACAATGTAAATAATTTAAAAACCTTAATAGATTATTTTCAGAGTGGGGGGGGGGGAGAACTGCCCCCGTTTTTCTGGTCATTGGATTAGTTCAAAATTCTTTGTGAGCAATATAAAAGTATTTTGGCAAAATGTAATGTTTCATTAAAAAGGATAGCCTAAAATTTAAAACAAGTTTTCAATGTTACATTGATCCTGGTTCTTACGGCATGCTATATGTAAGCCGGTGAAAATTTGTGTGTGTGTGTGTAAGTCCAAATGTAAAGTTTTGTTATAGATTTTGTAACATTTCAGTATAATACAAAAATGATACATTAAGGAATCTATTTACAACTAACTTTGGTATCTTCTGCACAATATTTCTACACTTAATACTGAACTAACTGATTAACACCAAGTACAATTGAAAAGTGAACAATAAAATCCTCACTTATATTTGCCATTTAGAAGTGAAATGAGAGTAGAAAAAAATTTACCCAATACTTGAATGATTTCAAAGAGTGTCTAAAGCTGAAGAAGAGATCACTCATCAAAAAGACGTTAAAATTTTGGGTCATATTGTACAAACTTATGTAATACCAAATTAATAGGAATTTTTACCTGAATTTCATCCATAGTATGGACAATAAACATGTCCACCAGGTCTTCACGTGCTCCGTCCAGCCAGTTGTTAAAGGGCTGGAAGTAAAACTTAAGATTCAGCAACATACTCAACATGACAGTGGTTTTCTTAACTACACGGTATCAACACAGATATTAATTCTCAAACATTTCAGTACATAAGCAGTTCAATTAAGTATGCTTTTATTAACTGAACAGGTTTATTTAGATACTAAATATTTACATAACTAAACCTTTTCTGTTTGATTATTTGATGATAATAAAAGTTTATTATAAAATATACTAACTGCTGCTCGTTTAGCAAACTCGAGATGGAGCTGGTCAATTTTCTCCAACACACGCTCAGCTTCCTACAGGAAAGAAACACAGTGTTAAACTTGAGTAGAATACTGCTCACTGCTAAGGTTTTTCCTGTTATTAAATTAATTGTTTTAGATCTGATTACATACAACTTTTTGGAGTAATGTAAGTACTTTACTGATAAGAGGTATAACAAAGATTTTGAAAATGGTTTTGTAAAACATTGGTGTTTCAAAAATATTTTGTAATATCCTAATATAAGAACTGAAGTTGATGATACTCACATCAATATTATAGAACATATTACCCAAAGTATATGCAATATCCTTCATTATTCTTGTGTGAGCAAAGTACTAAACTTTTTGATTCATTTACACTTATTTCAATATGTATATCAAATCATTGCTCCCAATACTATAGTAAACAATTAAGTTATTTTCAACTGTGTATACACCTAGCTTTCAAAAACTACACATAGATATTTTTTCAGAAATACATATGTTAGAAACCACCTCGAGTGCAGTGCGACGTTTCTGGGTGAGGGTTCCAAGTCGATCCCACTGATCACATATTCTCTGGCAGCGAGAGTTGATGTTAGCTACGTCATGGTAGTTCAGAGCACTGAAAGTGAAGATGAAGTTCCTGAATTAATAATGTTACTTACAGACACCATGGTGAACATTACATACATATACAGACACCATGGTGAACATTACATACATACACAGACACCATGGTCAACATTACATACATATACAGACACCATGGTCAACATTTCATACACACACACAGACACCATGGTCAACATTACATACATATACAGACACCAGTGCTTAACTAGGTCTTAAAGGGGCCTGGGGCAAAAACTTTTGCTGCCTTTCCCTCCATTTAAACGTTTTTTTTTATATTTCAGAAAAAGTTTTCATCAATTCCAATATTCATATACAAATCTTGAGAGACCACAAACCTATCTATCACTATGCAACTAACAGACAGACACATATATGTACTTATATACATATAGAAATGAATAAAAACCCTATAGCCCAAGTGCAATAGAAAGGTGGAACTTTCTTCTTCAGGGGCTGACGATGGTTGCATTTATGTGTATAATGGTAGTGGTGTGTGTGTGTGTGTATATATATATATATATATACATAGTCATGAGCTAAGAAGAAAAACAGTTATATCTTTAAGGAGAAAAATTCCAGTAGCCCATGCTTCCAAAATAACTTGGATGTGCTGATTTTTTTTTGTTTCAAGAAAATTATAGAAGTTAAACAAAATCATTTAGAGAGTTGACTGGATAAAACCTTCTGATTTCTTTGTGCTATATTCTGAAGATAATAGGGTGAGAGGGCACAACTTTAAGATTTTGAAAAGATAAGTTAGGTTCCATTTAAGACAGATTTGTTTTTCTAACAGAGTGATTGGTTTATAGAATTAGTTTATTGAAGAGTAAAGGGTGGGTTTAAATTTTTTTCTTTTCCCAAAGATAGCTGTGCAAGGAAAGCCTTGAAGGACCAAATGAAAAAACAACCTCACAGCATTAGGTTAAAATTTTATCCTTATACAACTTCCTCAGAAATATTACATGGAACTTGATAGAACTCATTAATAAGTTGAGACTTACTTAAGTTCTTGAGCAATAGCAGCTATCTGTTCCACACGATCTTGGTGAGCAGCCAAATCACTTTCGAATGCTTCGTGCTTTTTCTTGAGGGCCTGGAAATTTTAAAGCACATAAAATTAAAGTTTGGAATTAGATTCATGTCGTAGTATGTTTGGGAACTTTAATGGACTGCAACTGCCCGTTGAAAGAAAAGGAGGCTGAAGAAGACCTTGGTATAGAAGCAAGATGTCATTTCCTTTTCTTTCGACACGCATTGCAGTCCTTTAAAGTTCTAAAACCTAATGTGTATCCTCTGCCTAAAGTTTCACTGAAACAACATTCATATCAAAGTATAAACTCTTTATTTAGTCCCTATGAAACAGACTAGCAAACTTATGGGCCTCTGGCCCACATTTACAGGACTGCTATAATGCAAATTTAATTTCTTTAACCAACTTACAAATAGTAATTAGCAGGCCTACTTACTTACGTGCTCTAGTGTAAATTAATGCCAATTTTGGGGAATCCCCGTAAAAGCATTTTCAGGAAATACCCAGATTCCCTAAGGGATGGAGTGAAAAATTTTACCTTTATGCAATCCTCAGAACCGAGACAGTTTGTTTGGTACCATTCACAAGTTGGTGTGGCCAGCAGTTTAGGAGGAGTTACATAACACATAAACAGACACTGAATTTTATTATATTATTAGCAAACACATGGACCTATGCCCCACTATAATGCAAATTTAATTTCTTTAACCAAGTTAATGAATGGTAGTTAGTACGCCTACTTATTTTGTGCTCTAATGTAAATCAATGGCCAAATTTGGAATCCCCATAAAAGTGTTTTCAGGAAATCCCTGGGTTCCCTAAGGGGTGGGGTGAAATATTTTACCTTTGTTGAAACCTCAGGACCAAGGCAATTTGTCTGGTACCACTTAGAAGTCAGTGCAACCAACAGTTTAGGAAGAGTTATGTGACACATAGACACTGAATCTTATTATAGTAATATTTTCTGGCTCACACCTAAAAATGATACATGCATATGGATTCAAATACATCTAACTCTGGCACTTTTTTTACTAAATATAAAATATATTAACAAGATAATATATAGTCAGAAAGATATCACATGGCATCTAAAAAATCCAAGAGGTAGAAAAAAGGTTTGCATACTTTAAGTTCATAGAGTTTGCACTTTCTAAAGTCTTGGCTTTGCAGCATTTCCTCTTTTCCTTTTGTCCAATCTTCATGGATATCAGCCTTGTGTTTGAACTTCTGGGCAAGGTGGTCCAGACGCTCTAGCCTAATGAAATAAAATATTGTGAGAAACTTTACTTAAAAACTTACAGGATATCTACCTCTTTTATCTTAAGAATTCACAAGAAGTTTGTTCTCTTATTGCAAACAGAACAATACAACAGTTTGAGTGAGATGAAATTTCAAAATGTGAAACAAATATTATTATTTCCACCTAAAAATGATACTATACAAAATGATTTAGATTAATCTAAAACTTTTTTTGCAAGTTATATAAAATTAATTTCAAAGTGCCTATTGAAAGTGTTATGCAATTAATTGGGGAGAGTTTAATCTTGTTTTTGTCATAACAATATGTTTTATAAACAGAAAAAAACAGAGTTAACCTCATCATTTCAGAAAGCAGCCATTCTTCAAAGCCTTTTTCAGCAGTCTCCAGTCCCTTCCATGCATTGGCAATGTCCTAGTGATTATAGAAAAGGTTGGTAGTTAACAGATATTTCTGAAAGATTTACCTCATGAATTACATAGGTAAAGGAAAAAATATATATATATTAGTTTTTTACAGTTGGCTATCTGTATTCTGTCCACCATGGGCAATCAAACCCTGGATTTTAGCATTGTAAATCTGTGAACTTACAGTTGACCCACTGGGAAACAACAACAACACAAAAAAACTGTTAAGAAAGGAAGTAAAAAAGAAATATTTATTTGCATAATTTTTTAATATTATTATTATCCTAATTAGCAGATTTTTGTTTTTATTTTAAGAAACATTTTATTTTTGTGATTTATGTATTCAGATTTTTAAACCTTTTCACCAGCAAAATTTCTTCAAAGTGCAGCTTGAAACCACTTAAAATGTTTTCAATGTTACTGAGCCTTATGGAGACCATGTGTTCTCTTGAATATAACTTTTTTTTTTTATTACTGAGCCTTACCGAGACCATCTTTCCTTCTGATGGCAAGTAAGCTGGGCGGTTACTGAGTCGAAGCTTAGTTTGAAGTGTGTTAAAACTGGTTTCTAACTTAGCCTTCTGCTCTACACGAGGGGGTTTGTGTGACCTTCTGTAGGTGCGGAATTCATTCAATTTTTTCAGTACTCCATTCAGCGTGTTGTCTGTGGTTTTGTTTTCCAACCAGGGGGTGGTTCGTCGAATCCATTCGAGAAGCTACAATAAGTAAACAGAGAATGTAAAATAAAAAGAAAACTTTTGTTTATGGACATGTTATCTTAACCAAGAAAACATAATTACTTTCTTGTCAATATTTTGGATAAATGGAAATACATATTTTAATTTAACAATGAGTGAAAACGAAATTTTTAATCTCTTCAGTAACATGCAAAATGAATTACTTAACTGTGGATTTTAAATACTGAAGAGTAGCAGCTACTGGATTAACCTGCTCTATTTAACAAACTTTTATATTTCAAGTGTTTTTATAAAAGTCTTTAACACATTAACCCTATCGCCACAGATATCCTTCACTGTGCATGACACAAGGTATTAGTGTCTTACATTAAAAATTTTATTAAGCTACTTTTTGTTTATGTTATACTAATTAGTAAAGCATAAAAGCTTAGCTAATAATCCATATCTTAATAGTATACAAGTTTTAAGTTCTTAATTCTATAAGGCAATATTACAAAAATCCTGAATTTCCCCTAGTGTGACACATTTTTTCTAGGCATCTTATTTTCTCTATTTTATGCACCACCCCTCCAAAATGTACGAAATTTAACATAAATTACTCACTATAAAATTGTTATTGCTCAGATAAATCATAAATTTTATAGCCTTCAATTTTGTTTGATTACAGAGCTATCAAATAGAAAATCAGACCCCTCTTGCCACACCCACCTATCACATCCTCTGCTTTGTTCCCACAGGAAATAAATCAACTAGCTTGGATGAATTTCTAACAGCTCTTGTCACATAGTTAAAAAGCCAGAAAAATTATGATATTTATGGGACATTGTCTGCTTTTTGCATGTTATTATTCTATGTTCTTTGTGCATTATTTGATTAATTAAATATTATTTAATGCACTACTACCATTAGTATAATAAAAAGTAGGGTTAAGTGTCATCGATAGTCGATAGCAAAAATAAAAGAATACTCGGGTAAGTACTTTATTTCTTGTTTTTCATGTTTATTCTTTATTATTATTATAAAAGTAACTAAAATGTAAACTTTTGGATCTCTTTAATTAAGGTTAGATTAGGTAAAATAAACAATAATAATAATAATATAGTAAAAATATTTCACGAGGTACGCACACAAGCAGCTCGGTGTAGCTCATGGGTAATGTAATTCGAAAGTGTAACGTGACCTGCATGTTCCAAAGTGATTTACAACTTATAATGGTGTGAATAGTAGTTAGACATGGTTCATAGGGCAATAAAACAATAAAATTTAATCATAAATAGATGTATATTGTTACGAACTTAGAGCTACTTAGGATAAAGGAATGTAGTTTCATGCTACATGTGAAGTTATTCTAGAAAGAAAAAGAGGGTAATTTAGATTTATTACAAATTTTTTTGGTGATTACGAGGTCAGTCAAATTGACCAACCTTACATAGAGTTAGGGTAGAGAAAATTACAGATAACATATAAAGTTATACTGAAAACAAACATCTGAAATGTATTTAGGAGGTTTTAGAGATTACACAAATAAAGTTTGAGATTTTTGAGCTGAAGAAAAGTATATTCAATCTGAACATGAAAAATCACTTTTCACACAGACTATTCAAATCTATAAAGACTGTGAATGAGTACAAAGAGATCGCTTGGTCGGTCAAGTTGACTGAGCCCGTGTTGAAAGAGAGTTAAAGATGTAAGAAATGTGTGCAAAGAGCAATGTTATGACACACCAGCCCATTACTTAAACTATTACTTTCCTCACTGTGGAGACTTATTCAAAGAACCAGTATGTGTCTAATTACCTTAGTGTAGACTTACACAAAAAGCCAACATGTCTAAAAAATTAGAAAATTTTTAATAACTGATATTTTAAACACAAACACATAGAGGGTTAATTGTACTGTATAAGATGTTCCAGAACTATGCCCTAGTGTATTCTAGGATTTGCATTTTTGGCTATTTCATAATATAAATATCCTTTCAATTGGAAAAGGCTGTGACATAACTTCAAGCCATAACTAAGCCCACTGTGACATTTCATTCTCAAATAGTCAGGAATGTGATGTGGACCAAATACATAAAGATGCTAAGCATAACGCTTGTGTAGTTGATGCTCACACCTTCAGCAAAAGCCACTGCTTTACTAAATACAAATCGTTATTAAGAAGTTTGGCTAACTATGCGTATTGCTTTATGGATTATGTTTACAGTGTATTATTAAAAAGCATAATAATTTCAGACGGTTGTACAAGAAAATTAGACAAAAATATTCTGTTTCTGGTGTAAAATATATAGTATCACTGATTATAACTTGTTCTCTTTCATTTTCAAAAAGTACACAGCTGTGATCTAATTACCACACTAAGGATAACAGTTCTGTCAACTTACATCACTAGCAAGACGTTCATACTCTTCCATGAGACGCTCATTTTCTTGGTTGACTTTCAGTACTTTACAGATGCGGTTTGCAGCTGTTTCAGCCTGAATAAAATAAAAGTAACATTTAAAGTTGCTCAATAAATGTGTGTTTATATATATATATTGACACAAGATATCTCGCACATTAAGATCAAGATAATACAGAAAAGAAAGAGAAGACTACTGGTGAGTGAAAACATTGGTGATGCACATTTTAATCATTACAAAAACTATCTGTTTGGACTTCTGGAATATAGGTAAATTATATTAAAATGTAATTTTTTACTGAGGTTTTAAACCTTTTGAATTATTATTATTTCTAAAATGTAGTAACTTTTATAAACAAACTGTTATTACAATATTTAATGATTTGATAAAATGTTTTAGAAAACTTTCCTTTACAGTCAGTGTAATTACCGAAACATTCCTTATTTTGAAATTCAATCATTATATCTCTATATATTACCTTTGGACTTCATTCACATGGTTAAGAAACTGATTATTGTTCTCACTCTTTGTCATCACACAGGGAGAATGTTAGACACAACCGAAGAGTGTATGGAAATCAAAACATCTCCAAATTTCATCTGCAATGCAAGCATGCTGTTAGTAGCATCTCTTAAAGCAAGAGTGATAAAAAATAACAAATTGTTCATTCAAGGGTCTGATAATTTACTAACATCTCTCTGATGGTGTCAGTACGTTTGTCAAACAATAACAAAGTGTTCATTCAAGGGTCTGATAATTTACTAACGTCTCTGCTGGTATCTATAACTTTGTCAAACAATAACAAAGTGTTCATTCAAGGGTCTGAAAATTCACTGACATCTCTGCTGGTGTCAGTACGTTTGTCAAACAATAACAAAGTGTTCATTCAAGGGATTGAAAATCCACTAATGTCTCTGCTGGTGTCAGTACGTTTGTCAAACAATAACAAAGTGTTCATTCAAGGGATTGAAAATCCACTAATGTCTCTGCTGGTGTCAGTACATTTGTCAAACAATAACAAAGTGTTCATTCAAGGGTCTGATAATTCACTAACGTCTCTCTGCTGGTGTATATAACTTTGTCAAACAATAACAAAGTGTTCATTCAAGGGTCTGATAATTCACTAACGTCTCTGCTGGTGTCAGTAAGTTTACTAACAGAAAGAGCTCAGATGAATGAGATTGATTTTATGAAGTTGAGGTAAACAAGCTTATTACTCTAATGGAACTGTTTTACGAAATCAGACGTAACTTTCTCAAAATCATTCATTTAATGTTAAATCCTTTATTTCTTTATGGTTGTTCTAGGGTACGTTTTGTAAAATAGGGATTTCTTAGACTGTGGTTAATTCTGCATGCAGAATTAAATGAATCCACAATTAACTTATGCATAGAAATAATTAAACTTACCTTCATACACATTTACAAGACTTGTACTTCACTTTCAGGTTTTACTGTCTTAATTCTCTGTAGTATCTTTAATTACTGATTGTATACATTTTGTTAAGCATAGACAAAAGTTTTAGTTAATACATGCAAAACATAGATACAATTTATGAAAAAGCAAAAACGTGCTTTGCATTTTGTCTGTGATGTAGTATAGGCATTCTACCTTTTTTTTTATCTGAAACGAACTGTACTATCTTCTTACAAATCAAGCAAAGGGATAATGTTAAGTACACATACAGCATCCTATTAACATATATGACATATATCTGTGGAATTTCTGGAAAGTGTTGGAGTTGCACAAGAAATACAATAATTATTAAGACACATACAATATCTGATGAGCTCTTTAGAAAGTGTAGGAGTAACATGAGACATACTTCATTACACAGTAATTATTAAGACACATACAATATCTGATAAGCTCTTTAGAAAGTGTGGGAGTAACATGAAACATACTTCATTACACAGTAATTATTAAGACATACAATATCTGATAAGCTCTTTAGAAAGTGTGGGAGTAACATGAGACATACTTCATTACACAGTAATTATTAAGACACATACAATATCTGATGAGCTCTTTAGAAAGTGTGGGAGTAACATGAGACATACACAGAAATTAACATATGTACAGTACCTGTTGAGCCCCTTGGAAAGCATGGTAGTAGCAGGAGACATACGTCATCACAGCCCTTTCATCAGGTTTAGGTGTATTCACCATATCTAGAAGACATGTCCAACATTTTGTATGTGGATATATTGTTGTTTTTTTATACATGTTGTTATTTTTTTACATCTGTACATAAGAGTTTATTTTTTATAGATTTGAAAAAATATGTTAAATTTCCAAAACAGTATACAAAATTAAACTATACTAAGTTCAAGCATTTTTTTATATAAGAAATAAAATTATGTTTTTGTGGCTACTTGACCAATAAAGACATTGTACTGAGTATTCTACAATGTCATGTTAAGGGCTAATTGGAGGTCAGTATATTACATTTGTCCCAAATGTAGCAAGTAATCTTACACTATTGTTTGACCCAAAAAACACGTTTAAAAAACGTTTTGATTCCTCAGGCAAGTGTTTTTGTCAGAAAATTCTATTAACCAAATTTAAATAATAACCTTCATGAGATCCAGCCTACACTACTTGCTTTATGGTAGCAACAACAATTTTTGTGAAAGTGAAATATTGATTAATATGTAACCTTCATCACAGGACACATTATCCTTTTCCAGTATCTTTAATCTGTAACCATGGTAACATGAAAGATTACTTAGGTTCAAAATGTAGCCATAGTAATATGACAGATAATATTTATCATCCTATGTTTTCATCAATCGATAACCATGGTAACAGAATAACTTATCTTTTGTTCAAGCTGTAACCGTGATGACATAACTGAATATTCTTACCTTCAGCATCCAACATTCTTGGGATGTTCAGATATTTCTCAGCAATATCAAATGCCAAGTTCAGGTTCTCAATAGGGTTATCCTATGAATGAGAAAGTTCAAAGAGTCAATGAAAAGTATTAAAATACTTGTTTAATATATATTTCCACATGAGCTCAATAGACATTTGATTCAAAGGCATATTTTGAAAGGATTTTAAAACTCAAAAGATTATATGTTGGAAGTGATGATTAAAAAAAGATACCAAAATGTAATGAATTTAAATTTACATAGTACAGTTTTTGTTTTATACATCCATGTGAAGTCAATAACAAAGCATAACAAACAGTAATTCTGAAACACAAAATTAAAAAAGCAACACTTACAAGTTTCTCATCGAAGGCCTTTTTTTTAGATCTTAAAGAGTCAGTTGAAAATGTAGTGTTTTTCTGGTTTTATCAGCTAATCAATCAATCAGCAGATAATACTGATTATTATAGAGTAATGTGTAAACAGCTAATCAACCAATAAAGTGAATCTAACTGATGCAAAAACTTTTTACAAATATTAATCACTGTCAGGGTTAGTAGCCCGAATGGACAGCACACAATCTTTCTAGCAAGAATACATGGGATTAAATCGTGGATCCTACCACCACTTAATTATTTGCTGGTTTTATCAATTTTAATGCACAATTTAATAAATATTTGTATTTTAATGAAATAACTTACAGAATTATTAAATACAGTTTTTATCTTTATGGCTCTTTACAATAAACATTACAATACTTAAACTTGTATAACTAAATACCTTGGATAACTTTCCGTAGTCTAGTAGATCTGGTCGGTGACGGTGAATTAGAGCACAGAAGGCTAACCCATCCTTCCAGCTAAAATGAACCAATGAATAATATGAACAATTTGTAAGATGTATTTTAGTTAATATGGAGTTGATAGAACAGTTTATAGAAAAGCATGTATGTTTTACCCATTAGCCATCCAAAACATAGTACTGATTATTACACAAAAATGTCTTATTAGCTAATCAACCAATCAGCAGATAATACTGATCATTATAGGGTAATGTGTAAACAGCTACTAAACCAATCAGCAGATAATACTGATTATTATAGAGTAATGTGTTCCTGGCTAATCATCCAATCATCAGAAAATATTGACTATTATAGAATAGTACCACAGATTTATATCTTTAACATATTTAAAAAGGAAAAACAAAAACATTAGTTCAAGAAAGATTATAAAATTATGTCTCAACAAATCATATTAAGAACTTTGTTATGAACGTTTTACTGAGTTTCATCTAATTTTGGGAAAGTAAGTCAAACTATGGAAACTATAATAATAATACATATAAATAAGATTAATTTAGCAGAACTTAGTAGTAATGATAATGCACCACTGTTTTAACAGTTTTTATAATCTTGATCACATTGGAGGATTACAAAATTGATATCTTTCATTAAAGTGCTTGTTAACAAAATTTTTCATACCTGAGGTGGAAATTTTGGACGTTAACATTTTTGTATGGAGCAGTTTTTCGCTGACACCAGAGAAGTAAACCTTCTTTAGCAGTCATCTCTGAACAAGTACAAACACACACAAAAAATTAGGCCAATTTCTCCTTAACACAAAGAAGTTGAGTATGTTATATTAAAATGATATTGAAACTTTCACCATGTTACTACAATCCATGTTATCATGTCTGTTCAAACTCTATATGACAACCATGTATCTTGATAATAGCTATGCAGCATAGTTTCCTTTGCAAAAGGTTCCATCTTGAGGCTGTCATGCCCAAAGCACTACACTACTCCCTGCAGGGTTTCTATAATCCATCTTATTGTATGAGGATAGTGGTTTCCCAGTGCCTGTTTCATTCTTCAGCTGTTTGAGGTATACAACAGCAAACAGGAGATAATGACTGGATGCCTTTTCTTGGTGAAACTGTATCCTGTTGGCCTCATTTCCAAAGAGAGATCCTTTTGGGACATGTAATTAGCTTTTGACACTGACTTTTGCATTTGTGGATTCTAAATTGTTACAAGACACTGCAAGTTAACTACCATGGCTAAGGAATGACTTGTTGCAGGTCTCTTTTCTGTATGCATTGCCCTGGTGACTGAAGCTGATCCATGGCATTAAGCACAAGGATATCTTTGTCTTGGAAATTCTAAATCCTCGATCTGGACATAGCTTTATCATCTTATTGTATGAATATTTTGCACTGGAAAGAACTGTTACATATCTCTCCCAAAAGTATTGAATTTTCAGTGACATCACATTACCTACATAATGCCAAACAATGTCAACATGTCGTTCTGATACATCCGTTCCACAACGATTTCATATCAGATGTGATTTTCACATTTCTTGCTAATTTGCATATTCAAAATCATTTTAATATGTAACACCCAACCCTCTGTTTAAGAATATTTAGAAGATATGTTTTTCCCTAGGAGTCCTTTCTGAACAAAAAAGCACATATAAAGAAAATAAACTTTTCTTAAAGAAAAAAAAGAAACCTTTTGGTGTTACTATAGCATGCAGTCTACACAGATATTATCATCATCAGTTTTAACTTTAGTTTATTTACAACTGGCACCAGTTATTATAAATAACTTTTAAACTAATAAAGTACAAAATACCATTACATAATGTTTCGGGGGCAAATATAATCAGAATGAAATAAATTCCAAAAATCACAACTAGTACAATTATAACCTAACTTTTGGAACACACGACTTATTAAATTATTATTACTTGCTGAACAAAAACGTATATAGATATAAATTATTTAGCAAGAAATTATGTTTTAGTGAATCATTAAAACAGTGATGATGATAGTATCTGTGTAGACCGCACGATATAGTAGCACCATCTTTTCTTAGCCAAGTGATAATTATACTTTCTTTCCAAATAACTTTTTTACAAAAGATTATCTAAAAAACAACACTTTGATTTTATAGTTTTCAAATTATTTTATCTACTTCTCTATTACATTATGACTGAAACATAAGTTACTATAACTTGATGTCTAAACAACATGTTCAAAATTTCTTCATACAGGAAACACACTGTAAAGAAAAGTTCCTGTTAGACTCTTGTTTACAGAGAAGTCACTACATTAGTTAATATAAAATATTTCCTTTGATATATTTTTTATCTTTAAAACAACTGCTACTGAATCATATTTTCTTCAATCTTCTAGGAAAAGATTAAATTCAGAATTATTTATACTGGATGTTTTAATACTAGAAATAAGCAACCCTATAACACAGTAACAGTTTGTTTTAGTAGAATGCAAAACTTTGGGTGTCAAATTATAGAAAAATAACAAATTTGGTATTATAAGGTCGTTTATTATTAGTTTTAAAATGTCTTCTATACACACTACAGAAATTATATAATATGCTGGATGTTTCTTTTAGATTTATAATCGATATACCAAATTATTCAATAAATTGAGGTGTTTTAAAATCAACTACTAAATGGCACACCTTCTTCTCTGTCAATACATCTAAGTGTTAGTTTTAAAGATAAGGATTCACCACATAAAAAATAACCAATTACCTTCCACAGAAATATCTTGAATGGCAAACCGAAGAATAATGGTCCAAATAAGACCTAGAGTCATCTTCACATTTCCATCCACAATTTCTAAAAATAGATTTTTTTTAATATCCATATCAAATGTAATACTTAATTGAATATTCAGACTCAAAACATTGATATGTAGAAACTCCAACCTTTATATTCCTAATTGTAAATAATTTTACAATAACAATATTTTTATACATACAGTTTAATCCATAATCATCAGAAGAACACAATTTTCATATTTAATATTACATAAAAGTTGCAAAATAATCCCTAATAACTGGAGATAATAAAATCATACCTAAAATTTATCAAAGTTATAACATTATGTTGGGTTTTAAAGAAAAAATACAGATTTTCAGCAGTTAATATAATAACTGAATAAGTCTTTTTTTTTTTACCAAGGGAAACAATCCCCCACTGTATAATTTGTATTTGAAATGTGTCCACAGGCACTGAACTTGTCAGTAATCTAAAACATACAAAAATAATGTATTTGCACATCTTTTGTATATTACAATTAAAATTGTTCTGCAGGCTAACTGTCACTTTTAAAAATAACAAGCATCTTTAGCCAAACATCGACACAATTGAAATCAGGAATAAAAATTCGCTATCTTAAATTATTAGAGACAAGTACAGTATATGACAACTTAAAATGATTTTTGTGGTAAAACAATCGAACTGTGAGATTGTTTCACAACAAACTATATTACTGTGTTGCATTTCATTGTTGACCATGTGTGTGTGAAGAAATATATTTTACTTATGTTCAAACTTAAGCTTCTTTATCTTTAGAAAAACATAAAACAAACAGTTTATAATTTTGTACAGATCCTAATGATCAAAATCAACTATAAAGTCCAATGTCATATGAACTCCTTTTTTCCAGAGTGAAAGACTTTTAAAGGACCTGAAATTGTCAGATTTCACTTACAGATGAAGTGTATTGTTATTCAATAACCGGTGGAAAGTAGTGACACTGTATAGTTGTTGTTTTTTAATTTTGATAAATGGAAATTTAGGATATCGAATTAAAAATTGTTGTTGTTGTTTTGGTCTTCATGGGAATTATTCTTCTTGATGTTGACCCTTGCTGCTTCTCAGGTTCTTGTACATCTGACAATTTCTGTACTTGTGAACAAAAATTTTTAAACAGTAAAACTTCAGTTGTATTTCAGGTTATTTTCCATCTAGTATACTGAGAATATCCCACCAAACTCACCCTCAGCTCCTATAGAAACAAGCTTTACACCTTTCCTCTCAATGAATTCCAAGCCCTTGTTCACGTTAGCAATTTTGTGGAAACGCATTTTGCCTCGGTCTGGTCTGGGGAGAGTCTCCCCCGATATTACTTCCAACAATAACATAAGCTTCAGCCCATTTCGAAAATCTTCCTCGATATTTTCAATCTGAGTCCCAGCCTTCCGTAAGTGTGAATTGCACCATGCTGTGAAAGTCTAAAAGAAGATAAAGCAGCGTCACAAACTGTAAAATTTCAGCAAAATACACATATCAGCATTTCAAACGAAAAGAATGTGGTTATGATGAAAATTTTCTTTCAATATGCAAGGCTCATATTACCACAAAATTGAAATAGAGGGACAGATTTTTGAATATAATAAATGAAACACGTTTAAATATCGACTCTACTAAAACTGTAATGGCAATTTATACATATATATATATATATGTGTGTGTAATTTTTCTTCTGTACTTATATTCAGATGCAGTGAACCCAGATGAATTTACAGTCACATTACCAAAAAGCCCATACATAAATAATGTTGTTCTGCACTACAGTCACATTGGCATAACACAAGACATAATTAATGTTGTTCTACACTAGCGTCACACTGGTGTAACACAAGACATAAATAATGTTGTTCTACACTAGAGTCACATCCGTGTAACACAAGACATAATGTTGTTCTACACTAGCGTCACATTGGCATAACACCAGAACATAAATAATATTGTTTTATAGTCATATAATGAACCACGATAGTGGTTCATAATACTAATAGGGTTCGCCCAGAAATTTAACAAACATTCTAATAGAACATACGGGCAAAACCATCTTAAAAAGCAGACTTGTTCTTGAAACAACACTCAAGATCTTCTATCTCAATGGCTAAGGGTGCTAAAGTATTTAAAATAGCAAAAAAAATATTATTTTCCGATTGTCAGACAAAATTCATCCATTTCTTCATAATAATATTATTATTCATATCATTCTTGTTTCATAAGCCTACAGAAAAAACGGCTATGGTTATTTTATTAAATCATGGGCAAACCTGCTAAAAAACTCCTGTGCAGAACTATTTTTATGTTGATTCTTGAAAGAGAAGGATAAATTATACCAGTTTTTTTTATCTCTACTGGCCAATTTTCTCTTCGAATCCATTCAAGCACCGAAGGCTACAGCAAAAACGGCTAGGTCAAAATCTATGCACAGCTACTAAACAAACTTCTGCAAAGGTTGTAGGGCTATTTTAAAGTTCATTTTTGCTACCAACATAAGCTCTTTGAAGCCATTCAAACATCGCAGAAATGTATGAGGCACTTAAGCACTGTTATATTAGTAGGAAATGCTCCATTTTATACTAGTCAGAAATGCTTTGTTTTATTAGAGTAAAGAATGTGTATACTTATAATAGTGTCTCCAGCCTTATTATTGTTTATTATAGTTTTACAAGCCGCTATAGAAGAAATGGCTACAAATATTTTAATGAAACCTGGACGATACTGTTATGATAGCAGAAGTCCATTTGTCATCATCACAGGCTCTTCAGGTTAGAGAACTTTTGGCGAATTATGCAGACGTCTTTTCGAAAGGAGATCATGAGCTTGGCTGCACAGGCCTTGTGGAGCACAGAATAAACACAGGAAATCACCGTCCAATAAAGATCCCTCCAAGGTGAATAACTCCGGCAAAGCAACAAGAGATGGAGAAGGTCATGGATGGCTTAATTAAGGTTGGGATAGTCGAGAAATCAGATAGTCCCTGGTCAGCTCCCATCGTGTTAGTCCAGAAGAAGAATGGGACCCAATGTTGCT